CGGCGGAGGACGAATCACAGACTCCTGACCGCCTGCTGGGAGATGAAGTGACTGCAGGGGCCACAGGAGAGGAACTTGTCATGCAGCTCAAGGGAACGGTGACAGTATGTGGATCAGGCACAGACAGAACCAAGGCAGATAAGGAAACAGGGTGCTCACACACTTTTAAACAACACTTTGATGACTGCCATTACCAGCAGAAACACACAGCACATTGAGCATTGAACTCAGACACAAGCTGTGGAGCATTATGATGCAGTCAAATGAACTGCTACAAGCCTCAACTCTGATTCTTAACAGTCGTCTGCAATCAGACTCGCTTTCTTTTCCACTTCGCAGTCATGCAAACAGATGGTGAGCCACACTGGCGCACAGCGCCCACTCAAAGCTCAGAGATATGGAAGTCGAAAACACAGTTCAGATACAAGCTCGCTTCAACAGGCTATGGCGCATCAGCGCCTGTACACTCCAACTCTCGTCTCTCTATCCAACACCACTGTTCACACTCGCTCAACTTCGGATCACCCTGGATATCCCACACACATACACACACTCTCGTACTCTTACACTTGCCTATCAGCTAGGTGGCTATGGCTGCTGTCCCTCTCCTAGCTATGTCTAACGATCTCCTTCAACCCACTTCGTCCACGGGCACTCTACAGACCACCTCGCACGAGTCGCTCAAGCAGCGCTTCCGCATGGCTTACGCAGGAATGAATCAATGGCTGGGTGCTGCTTCTAGATTTATACTTCTATAACTCGTTGGTCTGCCCCTTTCCCATGCCCTTGGTGCACACAGTCCCACACGGTACTTCCTTGACTGGACTAGGACTGACTGGGACCGGTACAGCTGACTCAGCAAGGGTGGACTTCACCACTTGCCCACTTGCCTCCAGTCTGTCGTGAGCAACGTTGGAAGGGCCACTTTCGGACCTTCCGGAAGTCTGTGGACTTGGCCCTTCGACACTGTAGCAGCTACGACCTTGACCTTTCAGGATTGAAGCAGCTATGGACTTGACCTTTCAAAAGAGCTACAGCCACGACTTCCAGAACTCACTAAGACCTCTATCCGACAGGTCTACAGATCGAACCCCTACAACCTACGGACCTACGACAGCCTACCAATTGTTGCGAATACACAGGTCACGGGTTCAACTCTCAGGGTCGACACAGGTACTGTACACAGGTAAGGTAAGAACTAGGGATGGAGCCCTGGGATCTGCATTCGCTACTGCTAACAGGTGAATACCGTTTCACATCCACCCAAGACATCACAATTGAAATAACAAATCACTCGGTAATAGCACAAGGTTCCATGAGTGAAGCACCAAAATGTGAGGATGCACATGAGGGTTGTTTTCTATGCCACAAGCCATGGACCCAAGCAATATTCATCCAATGAGCTTGACCCATGCAAGGATAACGACATCACAAAGCCGTGCACGGCCTGCGGATGTCAAACAATCCCTAGAGAAAGTAGACAAGCACAGGAGGCCAGCCAAGAAAACAATATTACAGGAGACCTTCAAGCTCAATAACTGAGAGGAACGGCAAGACCTTGGGAGGCCTAGGCAGAGCCGAAAAGAAGGCACAAGCGGTTATCGGGTAGCTGAAAATTCAGGAATGAAAGTTTTGAAGTGAAGAGTTTTGGGTAGTCTGAAAATCCTGAATGGTCCTGAAGTGGTGAAAGGTCCGAAGACCCTGAAAACCACTTGTTTAGGCAGGCTGCATCTTGAAGTGGTGAAGGGTGTCCTGAAGTGGTCAACTGAGAGTTTTGGGCAGTCTGGAAATCATGAATGGTCCTGAAGCGGTGAAAGGTCCGAAGACCATGAAAACCACCCTTCACCACTTGAGGATGCAGCCTGCCTAAACAGATGGTTTTCAGGATCTTTGGAGCTCCCACCACTTCAGGACCATTCAAGATTTTCAGACCTGAATGGTCCTGAAGTGGTGAACGGTCCAAAGACCCTGAAAACCACGTGTTTAGGCAGGCTGCATCCTGAAGTGGTGAAGGGTTTCCTGAAGTGGTGATGAAAAATACAACTATTGTTAACCTTCGTGGGAGAGCAAAAAAATCTGGACAGAAAGCCACAATGACCATGGTGCAAGTCCAGCATAGGAACATGCACCTGAACTCTAAGTCAAGGCTGGGCTTTAGAAATAGGCCAATAGACTCTCAGACTCGGTCAGAATGACCCTCATTGCTATAGAATATGGTCTAATCCATGTCGATGAAAGGCCTTCCACGATTCAGACCCCAAATTCGGCCCTCAGGGTCAGATGCCCAGGTCAAGGAAAGGCACAGTTCGTCAAACTGAGAAAAGTCACAATCGGGTACCTCAGCAGTCTGGTCCAACAGGCACCCAGCAAACAGTCACGTCTCATAATAAAAAGCCATTCAGAAGAGTCACATCCCACGAGTGAAAAGGCAGATTCACCAAGCAAGAGTCATGTCTCAAAGGCAAAAGTCACGTTTCCTAATGAAAAGTCGTATTGAAGAGACACATCCCACGAGTAAAAGGTAGTATCACAGGCAAAAGTCGTGACCCACAGGCAAGAGTCACTGTCCACAGTCAAAAGTCATGTTCACAAGTGAAAAGTCATGACTCAAAGGCCCAAGCAGCAGCAGTCCAATGGAAATTCGGGAAGGTTCCAGGCCTTGACATTCAGTAGCAGACAGGCCGTGGGGATGTGGTACCGGAACCATCCAGGACCCGAGAAACAGAGGCTGGCACGAGTTAAAGTGCAAACCAAGGCTACAAAAGCACTGGCCAGCCTCACATTCAGTCAGATTGCTCATTCGCAAAGAGCGTGGAAGTGCTAGTGCACTTGTGCGCTAATGTGAGGGGCAGAGCGCTGAAGCCAGAGTGCTGCGCGAAGGAAGAGGGAGAGAGAGAGAGGAAGACGACACTGGCGGGGAGAAGGCAGCCATAGCTGCGCCAGTGCAGGGTGTTAGTGTTAGTATCTAGTAGTAGTCTTCAGAGAGTTAGTAGAGTTATCAGTGGGTGTATTCAGAGTAGATCTTTGAGCAGAAGATAGTGAGTGTGCATGTATGTAGAGAAAGAAGATACAGCTAGGATATAGCTAGAGAGGAGACCAGCAAGGAGGGAGAAAAGCAGAGAGGAAGAGATACTTACCTGAGAGTTTATGCTGGAAACTGGTACCTTCGATATGCGCTGATGAGCGCTGGTGACTTGAACTCTTATTGCTCTTGTATAACTTGTTGGAATTCATAAGCTGCGTTGTCTGGTCTTAATCTCTCTGGTCTTCAGTGTGAATTTCGTGTGAATTCATATGTGCATGAGGTGTGAATATGTGCGCTCACTGGTGTTGAACTAAGAGGTTCATTGCATCGAGGGCAATAACCTTTTAAGTTGCAGTCTCCGGAAAACCCTTCAGATTCACCTGGCATAAGTCATGAGTCGATGGTTGGCCTCTGAAAGGTCTCTAGAACTGGTGCCAAATTCGCACACAGTCTAGAGTCCCTTTTTTTTAATTTTGGACCATTTCTCGATTTATGCGTGTCATTCTTGTGCAGGGGCCATGCTAATCTTCTCTGTATCGTTCCAATTTTAACGGATGTCCTGAAGGACAGTCACAGTCTAGAGTCCTAACTTTTGCCCTAGGCTAGTTTCCAGGGTCAAAAGTCGAGCCTACAGCCTTTGAAAAGACATCAGAAAGTCCTTTGGTCAATAGGTACTGAGTCAAGGGTCAAAATGAGGTCAGTACCAGACCTTGGAAAAGACAACAGTCAGGCCCAGCACAGGCACATGAGTCAAAGAGTCAAAGCTTAGCCAGGAGTCAGTCAAAGCCACAGATCACAGGTAAGCCAAAGGCCCAGTGCCGCCTCCATAAGTTACCAAGACCCACTGAGTTCAGGTACATACTGGCCACAACAAAATCTTGGCCATTCATACCAGGAAATCTCAGTCATCCGAGGAGGCAACCTGAGCGAAGCCAGTCCGACTCAACAACATAAATCTGGGCCTGTACCAGACCTTGCAAAAGACAACAGTCAGGCCCAGCACGGGCAAATGAGTCAAAGAGTCCAAGCTTAGCCAGGAGTCAGTCAAAGCCACAGATCACAGGTAATCCAAAGGCCCAGTGCCACCTCCATAAGTTACCAAGACCCACTGGGTTCAGGTACATACTGGCCACAACAAAATCTTGGCCATTCATACCAGGAAATCTCAGTCATCCGAGGAGGTAACCTGAGCCAAGCCAGTCCGACTCAACAATATCAATCTGGGCCTGGCCAGCTCGTGGAAAACATTCTGCCTTGTTCTGTTTGGAGGCTGGACTGCAGCTGCTCAAGCAGCAGTGCTGGAAGAACACTGACAGTGAGCAAGAGGCTGCCATAGCTAGAGTGAGACAGAGTCGTAGCCATAGCCAGTAGAATGTGCTGAAGCACCATAGCTGGACAGGGGAGACCTGAGGTAGAGTCCAAGTGGTTGCATGCGCTTGGCATTTTCATCCAAGACTCAACCATGGTGGTGAGCACTTGAGATTGTCTGGCGCCATACAGAGGAGGATCTGGCGTCACAATGGAAGGAGGTAACTATTGTAGAACGGTTGGCAGGGCACTTGCTTTAGTGAGGTCAGGACAGACAGGAAAAGTCGCCATAGCTTCTGGCTGGCAATCAGGTCGTGATTGAGAAAGAAGGGTCCATTCTTGGAGGAAGAGGACCCCTGGAAGAAGGAGCAAGAGCAATCTGGACATCTTATTCATTATTTATATCTTTTAGATATTTTAATGCTTTTGCTCTGTTTTCTCCACACTGTCTTGTCATTCCTTTCTGTCACAATCTGTTGTTAATAACTTAATACTGATTGGAGCATTGTGAGTTCAGGTGAGGTTTGATTGTGAACTCCTGAAGTTGGATTCATTACGAAGGAATTGGCAAGCTGCAAGAAACAGTGAGTGGAGAAAAAAAGAGTACATGGAGACAGTTCTATGGGTATGAGAGAGCTGAAAACGAAAGAGGAAAAGGCTCACTCACCTTCTTGGTTTGTTCTGGCGCTGCCCAAAATCATCTCCACCTGACAGAGAACAAGGAAATTAATGACAGAGGATTACAATTTCAGATACGGATTATGTTCAGATGGTCAGATAATAGGGGAGTCCAAAACATACAGAAGTCAATTCCAATCAGCAGCCTATAGACCTATGCCTGGGCTTGAGAAATCAAGCCGGACACATCATGGCTTCACTCACAACAGAGCAGGTACAGCCATAAATCCTAGAAAATCAACCACCGTGGGTGAAAGGAAGAGGAGAACACAAAGCATGATACAGATAGTCTAGAGTTATGTGCTTCAAGTCACCAGAAAAACACCATGTACAGAAACCCAACCCAAAAAGAAATGAAAAAAAGAGCCCCCATAAGAGAAGCCTCCCCGAAAAGAGAGAACCGCAATGTACCTGAAAAACAAACATACACAGGGACATGAATCTCAGTCGCTGTGGGGTACTATGCACAACATGGCTTGGGCAATACAAAGTTGGGTAGGTGGGCCATGCCACACGGACTCGGTAATGCAATGTGGGGCACATAAGAGTCAACTAAGCACACCCTGAGAGGAGGCAACTGCAGTTCAACGAAATCAGCACAGGTCTGCACGTTCACAGTCACAGAGAGTCACAATCCAGACTGTCTGACATGGATTGTACAACATGGCTTGGGCGATACAAAGTTGGTTAGGTGGGCCATGCCACACGGACTCGGTGATGCAATGTGGGGTACTTGGGAGTCAACTAAGCACACCCTGAGAGGAGGCAACTGCAGTTCGAGGAAATCAACACAGGTCGGTGCATTCACAGTCACAGAGAGTCCCAATCCAGACTGTCTGACATGCAACCAAGCACAGTCAACAGTCTACTGTGGTTTGTGCATGATTTTCATTGGATACCATCTCCCTCCTCCAATCTTTTCCCCCCTCCCTATCGATCATGTCTAGCCCAACATCTGTGTGTGTGTGTGTGTGTGTGTGTGTGTGTGTGCGTGTGTGCGTGCGTGTGTGTGTGTGTGTGTGTGTGTGTGTGTGCCAAGGAACGACCAAACATAATGAACAAATACAACAGCGGAAGACTGATACGCACAGATCTGACTCAACGCGACTCAGACTGATTGCAACTGACTCATCATCATCCATCAGGCGTGAGGGTGTGGCTCTGAACACAGAGACGAAGAGCACCGTACCTAAGATAGCATCCACAGATGAGGAGGGAAAAGAGACGAAGGGGAGATGTCATCAACCAGATAATGCCACTGATGTCGTCTCCCCAAAAATAACCCCAATGTCGTCGCCCAGATACAATGTCCAAGTCAGGGCAATAGCCCAATGTCAGCAAGTCTCAACTCTCAGAACTCTCTCTCTCATAGAAGAAGAGGAGGAAGAATCAGAGGGAGGGAGGAGAAGGCGAGTGATGGAGACAGAGGAGGAAGATCGGGAGAGGAAGGGGAAGTCCTGCAGAACAAGATACTGACCAGCACAAAGGTGTTGCCTTGGAGCTGTGTGCAGGTGGGACGCGTCTGAAGACGACCCAGAGTTGTGGCACCAGGTGAATGCTGCAAGTCCCCTCGTACTGGCCTCAGCCCTCCACCTCCAATTTCTCTCTCTAGCGCTAATCCTACTCCACTACTAACGCAGCGCTGGTCCAGCAGCGCTCTAACCTCGACCTCCAAAACTACCTCCGAAACTGAGGCTGGATCCAGGACAGTCCGATCCAGTGGATCGATTCGCAGTCCTAGATGTTGGACTGAGAACTGGTCCGGCTCTAGGCCGAAAACGTGGTCACTCAGCAGACCTACTGACGACCACTGCTCCTACGGAGAAACGGCTAGGACCCTACTGGTCCAAACGACACCAGAGGTCTCGACCAGACCAGACCTAACCTGAACCGATGTAGAATGGACAGACCCAGTACTGTGAACAGACAGCGATCAAAGAGTAGGACAAACAGACCCAAAACGTGCAGATGAACAACCCCTCAACCAGAATCAACATCCTGTATCCTAAGATCGGGGCGGCAAGGAGGCCCATGTGAGAATGCATGCATGCCACACCCCTCCCCTCCCCCCCCCCCTTTTTGAAAAAGGAAGCCTGCCGGTCAGGGCGAAGCTGTCTATCGAAGGGAGGGACTCAAGCCCCGGTGGGACGGGCAGTCTGATGCTCAACACCTAGTCGTGGTCGATCATAGTAGGCATAGATAAGAGGAGATGATGCTTGCAAGTATTCGTGAGATTCAATACGTGTTGTTAGTGTCACATTGCTTGAAGACCTTGTACTGCGTTGGCTTGTACGCGTAGTGGCGATGCGTAATGACCCGATCCATCTCTTGGTGGTCATCCATAGAAGGAGGGTCCCACAATCCTCTACTCGAAAAGTCGTTGCTCTTGGCCGAAGTGTAGTTAGCCAGTTTCGAGGCATGAAAGACCGGGTGGACGATCACGACGGATGGGCCATCCGGCTGATTGCCAGTCGTGAGGGAAACACGCGACTGTCCAAACCACTTCGGAAGGAGTTTGCGGGAGACATTTAACTCAATCGCAAGTCCTCGGAGAAGACCCAACCAAAGTCGCCTGTGCGGATGGGACAAGGCACTTCCAGCTAAATCACCATGGTGCATGCAGATGGGACATTGCTGCTGCATGCAGGCTTGAGTTAAACGACCACGGTGAATGCAGATGGGACAAGGCGCTTCGAGTTAAATCACCATGGCGCTTCGAGTTAAATCACCATGGTGAATGCAGATGGGACATTGCTGCTGCATGGTTAACTCGATCCCGAACTCCTCGGAGAAGACCCAACCAAAGTCGCCTGCGCAGATGGGACATTGTTGCTGCATGCAGACTTCAGCCTTTTGCATGTTTGCGCGGGCTATGGCCAACAACTCTCGCATCTTCTGAATGGAAGCACGAGTGCAAGGGGAGTCAATGTCGGCTGCCCGAAGGAGAAGACAATCAGCGAAGATACGACCTTTCCGTCCACCATGGTGAAGCTCGGATGGAGCTAAGCCAATCGCCTGATGCAACAAAGTGTCGTAGGTGAATCCCATGCCGAGGAAGCGATTAACCCAATCCTTTGGTCCAGGCGAATGAGCGTACGGAGCATCATTTGCGCAGTTTGATGTGCCAGCTCCGTTTGCCTATCCGTTTGAGGGTGTCGAACCGAGCTCAATTCCATTTCAGGTCCAGACTCCATCATGAGGGAAGTCCAAAAGTCTGACATGAACCAATTGTCATGGTTGCTGGAAATATCCTTTAGAACTCCGTCCCCGCAAATCCAGCCAATGTGTAACAGTCGTGCGAGCTCTTAAGTCGTTGCATGATACTTGCATGAGAGGAACCGAGCGTACTTGCTCAATCAGTCAACCACCGTGAAAATACCGTCGTGGCCAAGTCGATCACGTGGAGAGGGGTCGGTAACGTCAATGGCAATAAAAACGTCGGGCTCCCGCGAAGTCGGCAAAGGTCACAACTCATCGTAGCTATTGCGACGACAGACTTCGCAAGACTCGCAATACTTTGTGGCGTCCCTTACCAAGCCAAGCAAAGTGACCAGTGAGGTGCGAGTCGTGGTACTTGCCAAGAAGGTGAATCTGAAGACGACAATCTTGAGGCACGGACAACAAGTTGCGCCTGTGTGAATGAAGAAGCATTCGTCGACGATATGGTAGTGGCTCATCGATGGGGTCTCCGAAGAAAGTACCTCGTAGAGTGGCTCATCGATGGGGTCTTTTGAGTATGCAAGGCTTATCGCTATGCCAGAAACTGCTAAAACTGACTATGTCATCAGACTGTTTCTTGATAACTGGGTTAGGGATTTTGGACTACCTACGTCGATAGTAGGTTATAGGGATGTAAACCTATTGTGGTAGGCGACAACTGAGCAGATGGGTACCAAGCTGCAAATGACGTCAATGAATCACCCAGAGTCAAATGGCCAGGCAGAACAGATGAACCGGGTAGTACAGCACCTGCTTCGGCATTATATTAAGCCAAGTCAGGATGATTGGGACGAGAAGTTACCTCTCGTCGCCAGCCTGTACAATAATGTTGTGCACAGTACTACTGGTACGACTCCCAACCAGCTGCACCTTGGTTGGAAGTCCATAACTGCACTTGACTTTCTGCTATTAGAAAGGCAACCCACTGCAGCACCTGCCAACATAGAGTTTGTTGTTAATTATGAACAGATGTTGCAGCAGGCTGTCAAACATATTAGAAAGTCTCAGGATGCTATGATCGCATATGAGAATAAACATAGACGGCCCTCTAACTTTCAGGTAGGTGATAGAGTTTGAGCAAAGTCATCTGAACTAGGTCAGGAGATTGGAATTTCACGTAAACTGATGCCACAGTTCTTTGGGCCCTGGAGATCTCAGACATTGTAGGGGATCAACCGTATGGGCCTTCATACGTGATTCACATTCCTGCACACTTGCATGCTTACTCTTTTTCCATGCATCCAAGTTGGCACCTGTCGCTGCGGCAGATCAGTTTCCCTCCAGAAGATCAATGTTGGCCCCAATCATGGACGGACACGTGGACATTGACGATATCATCGAGACATCACATTGATCCTCAAGAAGACCGGTGGTTCACAAGAGAGGAATTAATGAAGACTGCTCCCCAAATTATCTCAAGTTACGAGAGAAAGCTAAAACGGAAGCAGCCTCTTTCATAAAGACTTCTCAAAGGACTATCAAAGAAAAGCAGGAGGGAATGCGAGGATCTGGGTCCTCGGCAGGCCTGAGGGGCCCCTGCTGCAAATGTGCCCGCCCTAAGTTAAGGCGGGCCTAACAAATCACGAGAGGCCCTAAGCTGTCAAATTCGTATTTGGGGTCCAAGCAGTTTCGTCGCGCTAGTTGGTTGAGGAAATACAGGCCAAGCAACAAGGAAATTCCACGACCTTCTAGGCAACTCCGAAAGTGCAAGCCCTGGGCGAGATTCACAGCCTCATACACAAACAGTTGGGAGGCCCAACTGAACGAGGCCCAGTAGCCAAACCAGAGGCGCAACATCCTGGGGCCTACT